ATGGGCATTGCAAAAATTAGAATAAAGTAAAGCTTCCAGCTGCATTCAGCTGGCACAGATCTGGGACTGACAACCACAGCTGTTCTGTCCGTGTGTCTCAGGATGAAGACAGACAAAACCTTTATAAAACAATGAGGTCAGTCCTCTTACTTTATTTAATTCACACAGACCTCTCTGTTTGCTATTTAATGCTATGAAGAAAACATAATTAGATGCTGGTTATGCACATTGTTGAGAGGGTGGGAGATGGTCTTTAATCCTCCCGAAATGCAGATGAATTTTAAAAATAACTTTTTAAAAACAACCACAACAACACAGCAGATCCATAGTGGCAGGAGTAAGGTAAAAGGTAAAGGACCCCGGTATGGTTAAGTCTGGTCAAAGGCGACTATGGGGTACAGTGTTCATCTAGCTTTTCAGGCTGAGGGAGCCAGCATTTGTCCACAGACAGTTTTCTAGGTCATGTAGCCAACATGACTAAACTGCTTCTGGTGCAAAAGGACACTGTGATGAGTGCCAGAACACATGGAAATGCCATTTACCTTCCCACTGCAGCAATACCTATTTATGTACTTGCACTGGTATGCTTTTGAACTGCTAGGTTGGCAGAAACTGGGACAGAGCAATGGGAGCTCACTCTGGTCATGTGGATTCAAACTGTTGACCTTCCGATCAGCAAGCCCAAGAGGCTCAGTGGTTTAGACCACAGTGCCACCTGCATTCCTTTGTGGTCGAAGTAGCAGAGCAGGGGTGGGGAAACCTGCGACCCGCCATATGTTATTGGACTCCATCTTTTATCAACCTCAAGAGAGTTGTAGTCCAACAATATCTGGAGGACCATAGGTGCTCTGCACTAGAGTCCACTAGGGCACTTCATCTTAAATAAAATTTCTATTCTAGTCTAGTCTTCTCTAGTCTAGTCTATGTTAATAGCGCACGCAAAGCACAGGACACAATCTTACTGGAACAAGGTGAGCAAGCGTGAGAAAACGGAGGTCTTCTTTTCCCACAACAAGTTGGCTTTATACATGCATGAATGTTCACACCCAAATGTTCCAGCCATTAGGGAACCTGGAAATAATACGTCGGAGATTCACCTTGATGATTAATTGCTGAATCAATAACATTAATTCTTGTATCTCTTCGTAAAGTTCAGAGTAGTAGGCAGTAATTGGGAAGTTAATTCTGCACATGGGGGCTTCTGCACTGGTGCTTAAACCGTTTCCCAGATGATCAATCTTTGCAGGCTCCAAGCAGTGTTTTCCTTCCTGTGCAATATTAATGTATGTTGCTAATATCCCAGTATATCTACATGTTGTCCGAAGGGAATGTTCCATTCAGTGGCAACTCTAAACATCCTTGCCAGGCAATAATCCCCATTAAACATGGGGCTTACTTTTACGTGGATTGCATTGGCTGCACAGGGAATAGTGCTTGCTCTGGGGGACCAGCCTTGTGTTTTCATTTAACCGAGTGTAGGCAGGCTGCATGTTTCGGTGCAAGAGTGGGGAGAAAGCAGCTGCCCGAGGAGGCTGCACAGTGGCTGCAAGGGATGGATGAATCTGACAATGTCTGTTTCTGCGTTTCACATTTCCCCCCCAATCATAAATTAAGTTTGCCACATTACCACATCAGTTTGCAAGTTTTTGAAATAAGAAGTCAACAGTCGGAGGCAGCTTGCTTCAGAACATCAGTTGCTGGACATTCCAGGGGTGGGGGAGAAGGCTGTTGGGCTCAGGTCCAGCACCAGGAAAACAGGATGCTGGATTAGATGGGACACTGGCCTGATCCAGCCCGCTCTTCTTATGTTCTCATGGAAATTTTCCCTAAGCTGCATGTTTCCCCTGATGTAATTAGGGCAAGCAATTTCCCCTGATATAATTCAGTTTTGTATGTTATTTTTACTAATATATATACAAATAACACACACAGAGATTATCTATCTATCTATCTATCTATCTATCTATCTATCATCTATCATCTATAAAATTTATTAATTTTCTATACTGCCCTTCATCTGAGGATCACAGGGCAGTTTAAAAACACAAAAATGCATAATAGAGTAAAAAAAAATACAAAAAACACCCACCAGTTTAAAAGGGCATAGATTGATTAATCAGCCAAAGGCCTGGGAGAAGAGGAATGCTTTTGCCTGGCATCTAAAGAGAACATACCACAAGCAGGGAGCAACTGCAGAAAAGTACTGTTCTCATGTTGCCACCCTCCAGACCTCTTGCGGAGGCACATGAAGAACGGCCTCAGATGATTTCAGTGTCCCAGTTGGTTCATATGAGGAGTTATTGCGGTCCCACACTTTGTATTGGGCCTGGAAGCTAATGAGCAGCCAGTGTAGTTGGGCTAGAAGTGGTGTTAGGTGCTCATACCGCCTTGCCCCAGTGAGCAACCTGGCTGCTGAATTCCAGATGAAGTTTCTGAACCATCTTCAGAGGCAGCCCAATGTATAAAATGTTGTAGTAATCTAACATAGAGGTTATATGCATTTTGATGTTTATTTCCTCTAATATATGCATTTGTACACTTTTTTCACTTTTAGTTGGAGATGTGCATTGCAATTTTTTTTTAAAAAAATAATCAACTGTGTTCTGCTTCATGTATTAGTTTCTATATGGATTAGGAAGGCTCATGCTTAAAAGGTGAGCAAAAACCTCAGCCCTGGAGCCTGAATGCAGCCCTTCAATGTTCTTCCCAGCACCCACCCCTCACTGGCTTGCACACTCCAGTTGTTTTTACTTAGTTGGAATGCATGTAGAAATTAGCCTACTGTATAAAGGAAAAGTTTTCATTTGTTGTTCCGTCCATTTTTGCTTCTGGCCCTGGCCGCCACTGGAAGGCTGCCCAAGAGGAAATGCAGCCCATGGGCTGATAAAGGTACCCGATCCACACTGCCTAAGACTGCGCTGAAGACTGCCTGGAAACTGCAGCTGGCTTAAGTTTCTCATAGCAATTTCATACGATGAAATTTGGGGCAGTATCCCGGCATACAGTTATTTCCTGCCGTTTAAAATTTAGCGTGACATGGCAGTATATTGATGGAAAAGCCGCAGTTCCAATATGCAACAGGTAATGCAGCATACAAGGAGTGTTAGAATCCAGGTTAGAATTGCCAGCATTATAACCAGGAAAACTAGCGCAACAATCGCCATGTCCGAATGCACCCATGATGAAAAACATCTTCACATCCAGTGCTTTCAGGGTTGCCAGGAACAGTGTCTTTCAGCCATCAAATGCCTGGGTAATCAGGAATGCTTTCTAGCTCCTCCTGGAAGTCAATAGTGGCAGAGACAGATGCAATTTTCCAGGGAGGGCATTCCAGAAATGGGAAGCCACCACTGAAAAGGCCCTGTCCTGGATCAACACCAAGGACTGCCACCTCACTTGCCAGTTGTAGTGCCCAATGATACTGGGTAAGAGGAACACATCATCTGACTTAGTATAAGGAAGTTTCTACTTGTTATATTCCTTACAGCATCACAAGATGGTGTAAATGTGCAATACTGTTTTAAGAAAGAAGACAACCTTTATCTTGCAATAAAATTGAAGTCACACAGAAAACTATGTGGGTTGGTTTTTTCTTTGGCTCTCATCTGTTATTTTTGGGAATGGAATGTGTGCGTGGAGGGGTCTCATCCCCCCATGGGCATAGCTAAGGGGGGCAGCTGCCCCCCTAGATCAAGTAAAAAATTGTTGTTGTTTAGTCGTTTAGTCGCATCCGACTCTTCGTGACCCCATGGACCAGAGCACGCCAGGCACTCCTGTCTTCCACTGCCTCCCGCAGTTTGGTCAGACTCATGCTGGTAGCTTCAAGAACACTGTCCATCCATCTTGTCCTCTGTCGTCCCCTTCTCATAGAATCATAGAATCATAGAGTTGGAAGAGACCACAAGGGCCATCGAGTCCAACCCCCTGCCAAGCAGGAAACCTTGTGCCCTCCATCTTCCCCAACATCAGGGTCTTTTCCAGGGAGTCTTCTCTTCTCATGAGGTGGCCAAAGTATTGGAGCCTCAGCTTCACGATCTGTCCTTCCAGTGAGCACTCAGGGTTGATTTCCTTCAGAGTGAATAGGTTTGATCTTCTTGCAGTCCATGGGACTCTCAAGAGTCTCCTCCAGCACCAGAATTCAAAAGCATCAAAGACAACAAGTAAAACAATAGAAATACTTAACTGACCAATTAGGTCGGTTCTGCCTCCCCTATCAAAAGTCCTGGCCCCCCTTACAAAAATCCTGGCTACCCCCAAGTGCTGCTGATCTTAAAATGGGTATTTTAAGTCCCTCACCTGCCTTTGCTGGTTGTGCCTATAATGACATGGGAGGCAAGTAACAGAAACATCAGAATTGCCTTGCACTCTGTAACGAAGCTGGTGGCCCGCAGATGTCAGCATTCCCTTGTATTTCAACAACAAGGACGCCTGTCAAAGAGTGAAGGTAGATGCTGCTACTTCATTGTTCCAAAGGGTAGAAATGTAATAACACTGGCTGCCTCACAACCATGGTGCGGCTGCAGGGGGCAAATTAGGATGCGTTATCAGTGGAGTCATAACATGCTGAGAGAGGTTTAAAAATAAATTTTTAAAGTGTGATAAGAAACACATGCTTTCCTCTCAGTCCTGCTTAATAAAGACGTAGCTGCATCTTTGCTCTCTCTCTGGATCACCTGTGAGGTTTTCAGAGCAGGGGGCTATTTTGAGTGAAGCTACACAATGAGATGAGAAAAATGTATAGATTTGACGTTGTATGTAAGCAAGGGGTGCTGAGTTGCAGTGGAGGTAACAGCTAGAAGCTTTTATTCCCTGCCCTCCACTTCATTCACAACTAAGGCAAGAAGGCAGCAATTTCCATTATGACCTATATTCATCACAAGCAGCACTGTTTCCATTAAGAGAACAAAGGAAAGGGGCTTGGTGTGAGATGGAAAATGGGTGGGTCCACCATCCCTCCTAAACTCAGAAGTAGAAGGACAAAGGCTGAGTTTAGAGAGTTTGCAGAATAGCTCAGTTGGTAGAGCATGAGACTCCTAATCTCATGGTCATGAATTTGAGCCCCATGTTGAGCGGAAGATTCTTGCATTGCAGGAGTAGATGATGGTCATGGTCCTTTCAAATTCTACAGTTCTATGATTGTTTTTATGAATGTGATCTAGAAGCAAAGAAGCAAGCAGAGAGAGAGATGGCAAACACCATGCCAGATCTCTGCTTGAATCCCAGGCTGTGGTTATGGGAGAAACAAGACCCTCTTTGGGTGCTGATGCTATGAACCCCTCCTTTGTAGGTTCAGGTTGTACAGTATATACAGTGGTACCTTGGGTTAAGTACTTAATTTGTTCTGGAGGTCAGTTCTTAACCTGAAACTGTTCTTAACCTGAAGCACCACTTTAGCTAATGGGGCCTCCTGCTGCTGCCACGCCACTGGAGCACGATTTCTGTTCTCATCCTGAAGCAAAGTTCTTAACCTGAGGTACTATTTCTGGGTTAGCGGAGTCTGTAACCTGAAGTGTATGTAACCTGAAGCAAATGTAACCTGAGGTACCACTGTATATGTTTAAATAAACCATATATCCTAAAGACACCGCAGTCTCCATTGTGCCTCATTTCCAAAATAAAGCACAATCCTGGGTAACTGCCAGGAAACCCTAGAATCTCACACCGCTCAGAGATTAGGATGGTTTGTAGCAATATATACGATTCATGTGCAAACAAGAAATGTAATTCATTGTGTGTGTTCTGAAAAGCTACTCCAGTTTGTTGCAGCATAGTTCACATGGCCTCAGGTCATTGGTCCACTCATGCCTGCACTGCAGGGGGTTGGACTAGATGACCCTTGGGGTCCTTTCCAACTTTACAATTCTATGATTCAACTGAGTTCCTTATTGATTACATTGATTGGAAGCAGCTCTCCAAGGTTTCGGGGCTGGAGGGTACTTTTCTCCATCTCTGTATGGAGATTCTGGGGGATTGAACATGGAACTTTGCCACTAAGCTATGACCTCTTCCCAATGTGCACGCAGGAGGAATTTGTAAAACCCACCCCCAAAATCTAACTGAAAGGCAAAAGTAGAGATGGCATTGATTAACCAAGAATAAGAACTGTTGGAGCATATAAGTCTGTGAAGGGCAGGTGGCGCTGTGGTCTAAACCACTGAGCCTCTTGGGCTTGCCAATAGGAAGGTGGGCAGTTCAAATCCCTGCAATGGAGTGAGCTCCCATTGCTCTGTCCCAGCTCCTGCCAACCTAGCAGTTCAAAAGCACGTCAAAGTGCAAGTAGATAAATAGGTACTGCTCCGGCGGGAAGGTAAACGGCGTTTCCATGCGCTGCTGTGGTTTGTCATGCTGGCCACATGACCCACAAGCTGTCTGTGGACAAACGCCAGCTCCCTCGGCCAATAAAGCGAGATGAGCACCGCAACCCCAGAGTCGGCCATGACTGGACCTAATGGTCAGGGGTCCCTTTAACTTTATGATAGATAAGGTAATAAATGGTATGTACAATTTTATAACATGCAGAGAATAATATGTGCAAATAAATCAGAGAGGGGAGCTGAGGGAAGTCCTTAGTGGGTGGGAGAGGGAGGGATGGGGGGGGAATAAAAAGGGGGGAAATGTAATTGGATATATTGACTGATAAGTTGCTTTGTTAAAATTGTTTAATAAAAATATATTTAAAAGAAAGAAAGAAAAGAAAGCTATCTGTGGAGAAATGCCAGCTCCCTCAGCCTGAAAGCGAGATGAGCGCCACAACCCCATAGTTGCCTTTGACTGGATTTAACCGTCCAGGGGTCCTTTACCCGCCCCCCCCCCCCGTCTGTGTCAGAGGAGAGCATCACCTTGAGCAATGACTGTCACATTCTTCTCTGGCTGGTGCTTTTCATGGGTTTGCCTAATCTCTGAGAACACAATCATTTTTACCAGTGACAGGGACTGGCAGAAGTGTTGCCAGCGCAAGCTTTGAAACTTTTCTAAGCCTCCTGCTGTTGTGATAGCTGGGGGAGCGTTCTTCACATTTATATTATGAAGTTCCCTGCGATAACAATCCATGGCAGTCATTTTAGTGGTTGTTTTAAAGTATGGGGGGAATGCAGAGGCACGCTGCTCGGTGCTTTGGCAATTAAGGCACCATGTGTACAAGAGCTGCTCTGGCAAGGGAGTGGGGATTTGTAATGACAAAAACCACTGTTACATGCAGAGAACTCTGAAAATCCGCTGCTTCCTAGAGGGACATCAATGCCATTCCCTGAACCCATTGCCTGGCATTATCGCGTTTCACAGTTGCATGAAAGTATCTGAACAAACACAGCCAAGAAGCTTTGAAAAATGTTACGAGAGCCACCTACACCTTGCGTGCAAATGTCAACAGAAATCAAGGGGTTCATTTCCTATGCAAGCAAATTGTTCAAAGTGAGCATCCCTGCTGTTTAAACCGGAGGGAAATCATTCTTTGCACCGCTACAGGATCTGCAAAAATGAGCACAAAGCTGGATGAACAAAGGGATGTAGACTCTGGGCAGGTGTCTCGTAAACAAAATTTGCCTTTGCTTGGCTGGCGGGATCTTTGGCTCATGACTAAACTGTTCCAAATGCTTTGCTTAGAGTTGAAATGTTGGGGGGTTAATTCACTTTCCATTGAAAGATGCATGTGCCCCATGCAGAGGATGATGGTGATAGATGGAATAGCCCATTTGGTTATTTCAGCTGTGCATTGCAAAACTGTATTATAGGGCAGTGGTTCCCAAGTAACTAATTGACCACAAACTTGGCATGAGCCAACAGTGTGACACGGCAGCTAAAAAAGCCAATGCAATTCTGGGCTGCATCAATAGGAGTATAGCATCTAGATCAAGGGAAGTAATAGTGCCACTGTATTCTGCTCTGGTCAGACCTCACCTGGAGTACTGTGTCCAGTTCTGGGCACCACAGTTCAAGAAGGACACTGACAAACTGGAACGTGTCCAGAGGAGGGCAACCAAAATGGTCAAAGGCCTGGAAACGATGCCTTATGAGGAACGGCTAAGGGAGCTGGGCATGTTTAGCCTGAAGAAGAGGAGGTTAAGGGGTGATATGATAGCCATGTTCAAATATATAAAAGGATGTCACATAGAGAAGGGAGAAAGGTTGTTTTCTGCTGCTCCAGAGAAGCGGACACGGAGCAATGGATCCAAACTACAAGAAAGAAGATTCCACCTAAACATTAGGAAGAACTTCCTGACAGTAAGAGCTGTGGAATTTGCTGCCAAGGAGTGTGGTGGAGTCTCCTTCTTTGGAGGTCTTTAAGCAGAGGCTTGACAACCATATGTCAGGAGTGCTCTGATGGTGTTTCCTGCTTGGCAGGGGGTTGGACTCGATGGCCCTTGTGGTCTCTTCCAACTCTATGATTCTATGATTCTAATTACTGAGGACCCTCTATTTTTCAAAAGCCAAGTCACAGATCCCCTACTTTTGAAAATTTTGGTAACTCTATGGTAGTTACCTGAGCAAACCAATTTTCTGAAGAAAATTTGGGGTAGTTCCTAATAAGCCATGGATTTTATGTCTACTAAAAAAAATACCAAATAATTTGTGATATTACCAAGCAAAAATGACAAAGATTTAGTTGGGGGGAGACAAATGTAATTTAATTAATATATATTAATATACAGTATACTACAAGTGAACAAATTATGACATGTCTAGCAGCTACTATTTTATTTTTATTTATTTGCCACCCATCCAGCTGGGTTGCCCCAGCCACTCTGGGCGGCTCCCAACAAAATGTTAAAAACACACTCTACCTAAATGCGATGGGAGAAATCATGCCTCTTTTTGTCCTGAACAATCCCTTCCACATCCTGTTCTCACAGTGGCCAGCCAGAGACCTGTGGGAAAACCACAAGCAGAATTCAAGCACAAGAGGCCCTCCTCCCCTCGTGCTGTTTCCAGCAACTGGAGCTGAGATAGCCTTGCTGCCTCTAACCATGAAGCAGAGCATAGCCATTAAGGCTAGGAGCCATCAATAACCCTCTCCTCACTAAACTTATCTAATCCTCTTTCAAAGCCATCACTGCCTCCTGCAGAAGAGGGTTCCACAGGTTAACTATGCTTTGTGCGAAGAAATGCTTTCTTTTGTCTGTCTCAAATCTTCCAACCTTCAGCTATGTTGGGTGTTTCCGAGTTCTTCTGTTATTAGAAGGGACCTTTCGTGTCTCTCCCAACTCTACAATTCTATGATACAGAGTAAAACTTTTTACAAATTTCTATCACGTCTCTTCACCCTCCCTAAACTTAAAAGCCCCAACCTTTTTTCATAGGAGGCTTGCTCCTATGATCATTCTGGTCATCCTTTTCTGAACCATTCCAATATCATTTTGGAAGTGAGGCTTCTAGAATTGAACAGAGTATTCCATGTGTAATTGCATCGTAAAATTGAACAACGGCATTATGATATCAGGAGTTCTATTTTCAATCCCGCTCCCCCAATAATCTCTAGCATGGAATGCATCTTCATGGAGCAATCCACTATGACTCCAAGGTTTCATTCCTGGTCAGTCACTGCCAGTTCAGACCTCATATGAAGACTTTTTGCCCCAGTGTACATTGCTTTAGACTTGTTGACATGGAGTTGCATTTGAAATTTTATTGCTGGGTGGTGGCGGTGGTGTATTGCACATTCTACCAGCATAAACAGGGCTTCTGCCATATCCTATAGGGAAGTGGTGGGGGTGGGGCACCATTTCTCTCCCAGTTTCACCATAAAAGGTAAAGGGACCCCTGATCCTTAGGTCCAGAGGGAGTCATGAGGTGTGGGGAGTTTGGCTCGGTGCAACATGTGGCAGTGGAGCATCTGACTGCGTACTGCACCAGGAGATACTCCACCAGGTATCTCAAGTCTAGGACTGAATCTTAAGACCCGTCTGCATCATCCCTGAAACAAGCTGAATGCAGATGATCATTCAGAAGGTTGGGATAGCAACCGCTAAAAGCAGCTTCCTCGAGCGTCCACTGTGCAATTTGTGTTTTAATTGAACTGGGCAGAAGAGGATAATAATCCAAATATTTAAGTATTGTTCAAGTTTGCAACATAAAT